GGAACTTTACATCTCTGTATACAGTCCAAAGTAGTTCAAAATAACACACTACACATGAATGCATCAACATTTTAACCAGTGCTCTATAGACTTCAGTACTTCTGATGACTTTCTGCTGTCCTTTTCAGTTAATCTAAGTCAAACTTCTTCATGTAATTGGGCAGTTTGTTGTTGTTGCGCCGTTCTAAATATTTCTTCCACATTGGTGGGTCACAGCCAAAACCCCGGTGGAGCAGCTGCTTGGATTTCACATTGAGAGATTATGGGATGTCATGATGTATCCCGTGGTAAATATAAAACTGCTTCAACGAGCACCAAATTTAAGCAGCGTATTTCTTGAACTGCAATACATGTGCCTGTTACGTAAAATGTATTTAAAATAAGTTTCGCAACATTTCTGCCTCTATATCATCGGTGGGGTCACACTAGGGGGATATTTAGTGGTTCGCACTCACCCACTTGGAAAAAACAACATCTTTTGCACTCTTTTCTTTAAGCGTTTTGCATGAAGCACTGTTTTCAATCAGCTTGCTGAATGGTGACAACCCACAAGCCGGTGGCATATCCCAAGGCACTGAACCCAAACTGGGAGCAGCACAAACAGTCTAAATTTAATAGGACTTCAGAAAGCATCCTACTTCTCCCTGTGGTGAACGGCTGAGGAACAGAAACATCTGTACCTTACGTGAGATGATCTCCACATCTGGCCCGAGTCTTGATTGTTTCAGGGGTGTGGGCATGCACCGACAGCTGCAGCCAACCACTCCCAGATGTTTCTGATAGGCCGAGTGTCTAGCTGTTTGTTAAGCGTGAGGTGATCTTTGATCCCTCAACAGCGTTGGCTGTAGTGTTATCGTGAGGAGGGCCTGAGAAGCTCTGAGAGGCACACAACGGAAGCGCAGCAACCTCACAGAAGGGCCTGTGGTTCGCTGTGGTGAAAACAGGCATGGCAAAGTGGCTTCAGCTGTGGAAAAGAGCTTTTTGGAAACCACCCAGTATCTCTATCCAGACCCAGTTGTGCTACTGGCACCGTAATAGAGGAAGTCAACACAAGTATAGTGTATAACCTTGTGATTTACAGTGGCACCGCAAGAAAAGAGAAAAGTATGTAAACTTTAAGTGAGTTTTTATGTGAAAGAAATGGAAATATCTGAAACGTTCAGTTCAAAACCTCATAAAACCATCTATGTTATTGTCTTCAGCAAAATTATGCTTTACTCAGTTTCTCCATACGTTTTCCATATCGATGCTGAGTGGTGTAGCACATTGCGGCACGGAGGAGACCAATGTCATAAATAATCCTTTTTTTCTTTGACTGAAGAAGTTTGCCCTGACATGATCACACGTGGCTAAAACCTCTTTGAACTGATGAACATCCTGCTCCTACATCCCAGGGCTATAAAGTCCCAACCATTACTGTCAGAGCTGTGACAGGCTTTGTACACCCACCATTTTGATTCACTGAGATGGTATTTTAGGAAATGGTGCACACCAGGCCAGAACTTCAAAAATAAACATAACATTTATGGACCGGAAAGCTGTGCCACTCCTGCTTCCTCTCTCATCAAACATAGCGGTCCCACTACAAGAGTAGTGCAGCAACAGGTCCTAATGAGACACACGGCACATTTTGCATTGATTACAACTCATCCCTCGAGGTTCAAAGAAGCAGCAGCTTGTAAACGGAACTGGAGATCTTCTAACTCTGTTAACATCACGAGAGCAGTAACAAAAGGAGTGGTGTCCAATAAAACATAGTGACATGTTAGAAACAGCAGTCAGCTACTTATGGTCAACAGGATGCTGCAGTTTGGATGCAGATGCTCTCCAAGGCCTTTCCAGCAGTTTACAGCAGTGGCTTTGCTATTGCAGTAGTTCACAAATCTGTACACAAAGTGGCACTGTATCTGCTGTAATTATTATACACTCATTTCTACATATCATGTGTTAAAAATAAGAAGTAAAACCCTATTTTTTAAACCAAAAACTTGCTACTAAATGTCCAAAATCAAAAATCATTTCAGATTTTTACTGTGCTTCTGACAAACATTGAAATGTAGGGAAATGTATAATCACTGATATGACATGGCTGCTTTGACCTTAAAGTTTCTGTTCAACCAAAACTGAATAAAGGCGACAAGTGGCAGGTGCTACAAGGTTGATCATTTCCACCACAAGTAGTGACAGAGCGGCACTGATTGTAGGAACGAGAGATTTGTCTTTACAAATCAGGTGATAAGAACGATCTCTATGCAGTCAAGAAATAAATAAGTGTAGAGCCTACTTCAATATTATTGCTGTTTTTACAAAATGAAGTTTCTATTCTTGCATAAGCATTTTCTGTTCTTTTATCTTTAGACATCAACATCATGTGCTTCGGCAGTTCTAGAGACAGGTACATAGTTATAGGAACAATACTGGCTGCTGGAAATACATTTAAAATGTGCATGAAAAATAGAACTTTCAAGGACTCATTTAAATCAGGTCTCACTGCAAAGCCAGAGGGTTTAGATGTACCATGTTCTCTTATTTTGGCTCTGAATGATTGATTCTAGATTGTTTAGAGATTTCAGTTTCAGTGTAAAAGTTTGCTCATTTTTTAATTAATTTTGTTCCTTTACTATCAAGCACAGTCTTACATGCCTGTACCATGATTAAAGATACACTTTAATCTGTTTTGCGATGCCTTGCGGGCATTGATTTTCTAAATATTCTGTTCAGTCAGTAGCTGTGAACAAGCTGACAATCACCTTCTGGCTAGTTGCATCAGAACACGTAGGTTAGAAAGTTCAAACATAGCGTAATAAAAAAAAACTGAATTGAATAAATTTAAAAGAAAAGAAAAGAAAAAAACATTCATGGTCTTGGCCAAGACAGGAGTTGGTCTAATTATTTATGATTTCCAAAAAGAAAAGAAAATTTACAAGCTGGTGTAAAAATGGATCCAAATTTCTTTGAACTGTATCCCAAGAAAACGTTTGTCTGAAAAAACATTAGCAGGAGCCATGTAGTTTATGTTTTTATATACTGAAGAAGGAATTTAACATTAAATGTACCTTGTCATATCACAGGTATTTGGGATCTTTAATCCATATATGCTATTAAAGTAGTTTTGTGGTTTCTGCACCACAGGCAGCAGTGAGCTGTAATCTGATCACCAGAATCTCAAGTGGGATCCCAGACAATAGTAACTCTGTAGGCCCAGCCTTACAATGAATCTTAAATAATTGTGCTTTATCGTAGTGAAACTGAAGACCCGATGGACTAAACTAATTTTCCACATTGTTCCAGTTTCCGAAAGTAATTCATGTCAGCGTGTCTGACTCGATTGTATCTGACTGACTGAGCCACTGGATAATCGGCACAACTGCTGTTTTCCAGTCATCTTAAAAGTCACGTTTTACTACAAAGGCTGCACATTACTCCAAAGCTTTCAAACCAAGCAAAGCTGGCCCCTGTTGGCCGTGCAACAGAATAACAACTAGAGAAGTAAATATATTCAGGACAACATAAGTTGTGTCGGTTTTATGCTTTTATTCTTTTTTTGTGTTATCTCATTCATGGTCTCCCCCTTTCAAGATCTCCCCATGAAATAATAATTGTTTTCTTTCTCTGCAATCGTCAGGCGGGTGCACAGGATTTGGAAATGCAGTCTTTGAGTGCTGCGTAAGCCTCACATAACAATGCCTGTTCTAAGAAGTTGTGAGATTGTACGAGTGAGCTCCATCACGAGACGAGCTGTTTGATTTTCACTCTTCATTACAACCTACTGCTGCGTGCAAAACTAGAATGTAAAAGCCACCTTGCTTTGACAAAAACAAAAAAAGATTTTATAATTCAGAAAACTGCTTCAAACACTTCACAGAACATCACTGGGCCCATCGACTTTCAGATCTGGTTGGGCAGTGCCTGCAAAAGTTTGCTGAAAGAATAACTGAGAAGAGGTTCCACTTTGGTTTAAAACCGCGTACTCTTCAAATAGGCTACAAAGTTAAACCACAACTATGTCTACATGGTCTCAGCAAAGTGTGTGTTTTCCCTCGCTTATTCTGCTGTAGTCGAGTGAAACTAAAACAAGGCACGTCGAAAACTGAAGGGTATAAAAATAACAGAAAACTGTGCAAAAGCTATAGTCTGCAAACTTCAATGCTTATAATTTAACTAAATGACACAAGGTGGATGTGAGATGCGCTTTGACGGGTCTCTCTAATATGATATAATATTAATTTATTTATACTGTGACGTTTAAGCATGCTGTGTGAAATCAGCAATGCCTTTTTATGACACACAAACACCAATCAAAATAGATAGAAAGCTACAAACAGGTTTACAGTGAATAATAAATTGATTAGTTGATAATTTGATTAACTTATAAAACATATGAGCACCCACAGTGGGAATAAATCTGATCCTGTCTTACTGTGAGTTAACATTAATTTAGTATTGCTCATCCACTGCAAATATTAATTTTCTAAGTATTTTTTTAATTTTTTTTTTTATTTACAAATTACAGATTTAATGCCACAAATAATACCTAAGAATAAACAACAGGGCATTCTTGACTTTGAAATAAATTAGTGTAAATTTCATTGCATTATTTTTGAAAGGAGATACAGGTAAGTTTACAATGAATCATAAATTCAAGCTAAATGCTATCAAATATAAATGGACTTCACTGCACCCACCTCTTATTCACTCAAGCTCATCTCCTATGGGTTTATATCATCTGGACCTTATTTGTGATGGTCAGATCTCAACAGAATATTTCCAGTGAATCTTTGGGCCTAAAAAGCACTATGAAACGAAAAAAGTTTACCTTTTTCATCAACATTTTGCAGCAGACCGGGAAAGGATGGAGCAGGAGCAGCACGATTAAGAAATAAGGAAGTAATGCGGAACCAAAGTTATGCAGCCAACGTTTCCGATCGGACGACAATTTCGTCGGAAAGCCGTCTGTTTACACCGCAACGTGGGTAACTGTGGCAGCACTTTAATGACAGGGAAGTACTAAATAACTAGTATATAACCAGTCGCTAATGCCTTTTTTAATTGTGTACTAAAATGGGTAAAAAGCGTCGCAGCGAAGACTCCGCGGAGTCAAACACTCCGGCGAAAAAAGAGAAAGCTCCGGAGTTCAATGGGACTTTATTTAAAGCTATGCTAAAGGACCCAACTACGGCCAAGAAGGGTGCGTTTGTATTTTACAGTTTGTTAAACATTACACAAAAGTTTTACTGAATCATACCGCTGATATGTCCATTCAGTAATTCACCTTCCTGTCCTTCCGTTGTCTTATTGCAGGACTGCAGACGTTCATATCAACCGCCAAGAAGCTGCCCTGCTCTGACCTGTATGATGTGGTTGAAGGTTACATTAAAATCTCCATGGAGTGTGCAGAAATATTCAAACTGCTAGAAGGAGAGAAGCACAATGAGAATGAGGTACGCTGAAGCTCCTCTCTCGGTGGATGGCACTGACCGGCTACCTGTTGAATTCTAACCAGATCTTGTTTCTGTCCAGATGATGCCGGTTTTTGAGAGTTTGGAGGTGATCCTTCTGAGGACGGCCAGTGACCTGTCCCACTTCAACATGGTCGGCAATGCCATTGTGAAAAAGATTGTTTCCAGCCACATGAAACTTCTGCAGGGGTCTTTCAATTCAGAAAATCACAGGTCGGTCTGATTATCTCAGTGCAGGGTGAATGTCAATCCGCAGCATTAAATAAACTGATCCTTCATGACCATCAACTTTATGCTGTGTTATTCGTTGTGCGCAGGTTTGTCCGTCAGTGCCTCGGCCTCCTGTCTGCCTTGGTGTCTCAGGGTCCAGAAGCTGCCAGAGAGGTTTTAAGTCACATTTACATTAACAGATCTTTGTCTGGACTGGCAAAGAGAAAGGACAAGAAGGTGTGATGCAGCATTCGTCTTTTCAGCTTACAGTGTCATAACAGTTGTTGGGTACTTTACATAAATGCATCCTTTTTTGTTTGCAGGGTAGACCTGATGTCCGTCAGGCTTTTATCCAGTTTGTCCTGTCCTTTTTGGTGTCTGGAGACAATGCTGCAGTGGGACAAATATTAGAACTCAAAGGTAATAATTAGATATTTATTACAGTTTACACGGCATCCTCTTGTCTCCATGTGTGGGTGACATGTTCATTTTGTGTTGTAGAGCTCCTGCCAGAGATTCTGAATACAGGTCTGAGGGAGGACAGGATGTCCACAGTCAATCTGATTTTGTCCACATTGAAGACCAGAGTAAGTGCTCATCAGTGCACAGTTTTGATTTAAAATCAGTGTATGGACTTGGTAATCATATTTATTGTTATTTGTCTTTCTGTAGGTTGTACTAAACAAGGCCATTAGTAAAACACAGAAAGTGCGCTTTTTCACACCTGCTGTATTGGCCAACATCGCATCTCTGTATAAATGGAATGGGATCGTGGATGCAACCACTGATGACGACAGGGTAGGTTACTCACTGTATCACTCATCTGTGTCGCCCAAATTTGCTTTTCAACTTGTGGGTCTAATTTTTTATTCACTTATTTCTATGTGAGATGGTGGAAGACTCAGAGCTTGCTGGGATTTCAGTCGTCCGGGAACTTGTTCACAGTTTCCTTCTTGACCTGTGCTGCTCCCGTAAGCATGGTATCAGTTTTCATGATGCCAGCTTTGGCACGGTCGGCAGGTAAGAAATTAATGTGTTGATTTGACATTGTACTCGAAAACTCCTGATGCTGACAGTAATATTTTACTTTCTCTGCAGAGCTGGCAACATTGTCTTGCTTCAGTTCTTGGTGGGTCTGAAACAAGCGACAGAGGATGAATTGGTGGCAGAGCTGGTGGTGAATGTGATGAAAGCAAGCCCAGACATTCTGTCCAGATACTTCAAGGAGACACAGCATTCGTACACCCCACGCCTCAAAAGTGCTTGGCAAGACAACGTCAAGTTTCTTAAAAAGGTACTTATTACTGGTATATTTTTGTCTAGAGGCATTTGTGATAGATAATTTGTTGTTTGTCTTATTTTAAGACAGTAATATTTTCTTTTTTTTGTTTACATTTTTACATCAGATCTATGAGGCCCAACCAGAGATTTCAACAGTCTTTCATGCTAATGAGCTGATCCCAGTGCCTCGCCTGCTCTCCATGATTATGGTGATATCACTTCCTCCTGTCTGTAACAAGGTCTTCTTCACCCAAGGCCTCAATGTAAGTTACTGAGCCTCATGAAATATATTCTTTATCGCTGTCAGCATTGAAAAAACATTTAAAACATTTAGACTATCTCCTCTTTGAATTGACAGCTTACCAACCAAGCAGTGCAGCTTACAACTCTGTCCATGGTGAATTTCATCTTGAAAAGAGCTAACAAGAATATGGAGTATCTTTTGGATGAGTCTGTGTGGTCCAACTCAGACTTGTACACTCTCGACATGATGGAGGAAGTGGTGCAGCAGTACAGGGAGACACTCAGCAAGGTATGTCCAATAAAGCGCTGTCTTAATACGCACACAATTTAATGATAGACATTCTGCAACTTCAATTTCCATTTTTCATTCTGCTTTCCAGATTTTACCAGACATGACAAAGATAATTGAAAAGTGGCAGTCGCTTAGCAAGAAGGAAAAGACTGATGGAGAAGAAAAAAAGACCCAAACTGAAGGAAATACTGAACTGACTGAAAATGACGTGCCTGGTAGGAACATTTACAGTACATGTATATTTCTTATTCCAATCATTCATGTAAAACAAATTGGAATCATGTGAGTTGACCAACTTATTTACCTTTTCTTGCAGTTGCGGAAACAGCTGAGGTCATTTTGCTGAAGGCTCTAATTCTTCAGGTCATATGTCTTTACCAGAAAGTGGTGCCACATCTGGTTAGCCAGTGCAAATTTGACTTCAGCAAGCTCTTTAAAGGTAATCTTTTTCTTGATAAGATCTGCCTTATATTGTTGTGATGTTTTTTTCAAGAGCAGGCTTTTAAAACAAAATATACTGTTTTTACATCTCCAGGGATTGTCTCAGACAAGGGAATGAGAGAAGAAGTTCCCCCGGTTTTGCAGTATCAGGTATTGCAGCTGGCCTTAGAACTTCCTGCAAGTAAATTCTCCTGGTTCCGCATACAGGTGAGCAAGTTATACTCTTGTTTTTTTTTTTTGCTATTTATTTTCTTGTTTCATTTTCAGCTGTTTGGAATATGTTTCTTTGTAAATATCATTGTTTTCTATTGCTTGTTTTACAGGATATTGCAGATTCAGAATCATCATCTGGGGAGAAGTCAGTGCTTTACCTGCTTCTCAAGATGTTTGTCAGCAGTAGTGGCAGCAGCCACCTGAAAACCTCCACACAGATGCTGGTTCAAAAAGTAAAGAGCCTTCTTTCTATTCCTCTGTGCAGGAGCTTTGTGTCTGCACTGTATGGATGAGTTACATAGTTAGATTATATTAATAGACTTGTTTGTCTGTATTAGTTTAAAGAGCCTGAAGCATAATGATATGATGGTATATTTATGAGGTTAATGGAGTAATAACAAAAGTCTCTGTATTTAGTTTCAACAGATTTGTATTAGTGTTACCAAATTTCTCCCAGGACTATTTTCCTTAGTTTTAGGAAAAAAAAGTAACTATTGTTCTGTACTACCTGCCTTGTATGTAGGTGTTAAAGGACACGGGGGTGTTTGAGCACACCTGGACTGAGCTTGAGCTCTGGCTCGATCATCTCACCAGAGTCGACCCAAACCAACAAGAGACAGTCATCCAGTTCTTGGAAAAGGTAAGTCTACCTATGTAACGTCTTAGCTTGAATCTCTATATTTCTTTACAGCATGTTATTGTTATACTGCTGCTTGCAAAAAAATGAAACATAAAAGCTATACCTGATAATAAGCTCTCTGTCTCTTACTCCAGGTGTTGGTTAAAGTGGTGTGCAGTTCCTACACATACACGGATAAAGTTGCCAGCCTGGTCCAGGAGGCAGCTCATCTGCAAGCTAACCTGAGTAGCCAGGAGGGCGACGCAGCAAGTATCCCAGTCTCACACATAGATGGTGAGCATTTAAAGGTGGAATCAAAACTGATTTCTTCATGCAACAAGCATGTCGGTGAAGGTTGTTTTTTGAAATCTGACAATGTCTTTCAGATGTCCTGGACATGCTGGATGTCATTATGGAGGGTAATGACGGTGAGATGGAGGAGTTCGGGCCGTCTCTGAGTGAAGACCTCATTATCCAAACCTTCCCCTTCAGTGTGGTGGTGCCTGCTGCTCTGGAGTCCCGAAACAAACTGCCAGCAGACAGGGGTAAAGCACAAATATTCAATATATAAATTCAAACAGTGGTGAGGGAAATAGCTTGTTTTGGGGGGGCTGAACATTGTTGTTTTTTTCAGTCAGTAAATATAAAGTTGAAAATGCATATATAGACAATTGCAACTCTACCTTAGAATAAAGCCTCCTCTTGACAGCTAAGAAGGGTTTTTTTCCCCCCATTCAGCTATAGCTTATTTATTTCAAAACAAAAAGTTCTGTATGTGGTGATGTTGGTAACCATCTGTCTTTTACTCCCTCAGGGGTGGTGTCTGAATACTTGTCTGCAGTCCTTTCAGATGTGCTGCACTGTCAGAGAGATCCGCTCCCACTCTGTCTGGCTCTGCTGCACTATGATAAGGAGCTTGTTTCCTCCGAACTCTCTGCTTCTCCTAATCCAGCCATCATACACTTTCATCAGTATTACACCAAATGGTTACCACAGCAGTGCCACGAGGAACTGGTCAGTTGGTAGTGGCACAAAGAGACTGGTTAATGAAAATGGTCATGTTCTTGTAATTTCTTATTCCAGAAACTTTAAGTCTTCTTCTTCTTCTTTTTTTTTTTTTTGCAGTTCAAGTCTTCTGAATGCCACTCAAAGGGATTGCCAACCCCCACGTCATGCACTGCACTGATGAAAGCTGCTTATCTTCAAGGAGCAAACACTTTGCTTGAGAACGCATTCAGGGAAAATGTAGAAGGAGCTCTAGCTTCCATGTCAGTGGCTGAGTTTCCAGTTGCAATCAAGCAGGTCTTACTTTACATCAAATCAACAGCGGACAACTTTGGCACGGTAAGAGCACAAAACAAGTTCACCACCACATAGTAAATGACTAAGTTAAAATTCTACACAGTGAATGGTATCTTCCTGTACAGTTCTCCAAAGATGTAGGCGCTTCCCTTTTGAGCACCTTAATGGGAATACTCAAAGATATGGTGACCAAGCTACAAGACCTTAAAGAGACCAAAAACTCTGAGCCAGCAGCTGAGAAATCCCAAGAAGGATCAGACCTCTTCCTGGAACTCAACCAGTCAGCTCCAGTAGAAGTCAATAAAGAGCAGGTTGGGAACAAAAGAAGCTTGTACTGTGACTTTTATTTGATGAATTCTTCTCAAGCTATTTACAATATCAGGTTTAAATCTTTTTTTTGGGGGGGGAATAACTGTTTCTAATATGGCATTCTCTGTCTTTAGATCCTTGTTTCAGCGCTTGGCTCCATCTTCAAGCACCCATGTCTGGAGCAGTGGTTTCTGGCTCTGGAGCTCTCTGCATTGCCTCCTCACTCCCTGAACCCTGCTAGACTAAAGCAGCTGTGTGCTCAGTTGACTGATGGTGTTCTGGCCATACTGAAGATCAGCGCCCCAGTGCTTCGGGATCTGAATCATTCGGAGCTTCTCTGTAGCTACATGGCAGCTGTAGAAAGAGCTGCACTCAAAGAATTGATGGAGAAGGGTTCTCAACCTGCAAAGAAACACTCCAGACCTTTCCAGGCACTGCTGTCTCTGCACAGCTACATGGATTCTTGTAATCTCAGGGAGGTGGTCTCAAAGTTGCTCCTCCTCTCCCAAAGCAGCCTTATCTCCCCCAGCAGTGACGGGACACAATCTGAGCTCAGCAATTACGGTCACGCAGCACTGCAGATCCTCACAGAGTGTAAATCTGCTTCTTCTCAGGACCAGGGCACATTCTTAACACAGGCACACTTCCATGGCTTGGGCACCCTGCTGCTATCCTGCACCAGCCCTGCACTGGAGGCTTTCCTGCTGCACACTCTGTCTAGTGAGCCAGGCAGTGCCAAGCTCATCCACACAGATGTGCTGTTGCACTGTCTCCAGCGGCCTCTCGGTGACACTCTGGCTATTAGCTCTCTGCTGCTGCAGAACAGCTCCACTCACTGCCTCTTCTTTGAGATGTGGTGCCTTGAATCTGCAAATATTGAGAAGTTCTCAGACCAGACAAAAACCTTCCTTCCACTGATTAATGCCTACTTGCAACTGGCAGATAGAGAGGATCCAGCCAGACCCCAAGATGGTGTGTACTCAGACACATTCTCTTTTGTCTAAAAGCATACAGCAGGAGAACTTCTGTGACTTTGTTTTCTCTTGTTGCCATTCCTGTATTAATTTGGATTTGCTCAATTGCTGTGTTTTTATAGTGCGAAATGAAGTTTTAAAAGCCTTGAAGCGAGGACTGCTTGCCAAATTGTCTCAAAGTGTCCTGGAAAATCTGTCCGAGGACTCCGGAGCCCAGCTTGCAGAAACACTTGCTCATTTGATCAAGATCTCTGCAAACATCAAGGACATCAGGGATCTTATCAACAATCTCCCCAATGCTCTTCAAAACATAGACAGTTTTGAAAGGTAAACTTTATCATAATAATAATAAGAAAATTATCCCAGTCGGAGATTGTTGGTTTCATTTTGTTTTCTCTTTCAGATGGAAACTGGTGGATGTTATTACTGAAAAACTTGCTGATTGCCCAGAGGAGCAAGAGAAATGGAAGAAGTCTCTCGCCACTGCAGCCCTCAAGTTTCTCATCGCCTCGTACAGTCACTCTAAAGATCAGGCTGCTTCTCCATCAGACCAGGAGCAGAGCATCTTGAACAGATTGCAGCAACTCCTGGTGGGCTTAGTTTTCTCAGGCACATTATGCAGTAATGACTATATTATTTGCATTTTTTGTAATTTATATTCTTTACACAGACATCAGCTGAAGACATCACTGCATCTGAGTGGAACAGCTTTGTCAAAAATGGACTGAAGTTAGTAAATATGTGTCTAAATCCATTCTTCTAATTCATAAACGGTGCCACATTCATTTTAATGAATGACCTAAAAACACTTGTAAATTCTCCAGGTATCGCTACAGAGATCAACACTTCCTCAGCACTTTGATTAGCCTATTGGAGCTGATGTACAGTGGCAGTGAAGTCCACAAAGACCGAATACCTTTATCCACTCTTCACATGATGACCATCAGCCACTCTCTGTTCCTGCCCACCATGTTAGCCTCTGATGAAGAGCTAAGCAGTGGCCTCGCTAAAGGTACCATACATAAAATAAACAAACCCTAAAGCCTTATCCATCAGTTGCCTGATTGATGATTGAAAACAAACACTTACTGTGTCATTTCAGAAGAGCTGATATCCCTTCTTCTCTGCCTGGTGAAGAAATGCCCATCCGTCTGCAACATCAATCACTTTGTTGTACTTTTGGGATCATACGGAGCCACACTGTGTGTTTCAGGTAAAACAGAACATTGGGATGAATTTTTTTGTATCTGTGTTTGCTGTGCTGTCGTCTTACACTGCGTTTTGTTTTGCAGATCAGAAACTGTTACTGCTTCTTCAGGAATATGAAAAAAACCAAGTCAGTCTGCTGAAGTTTCAGTAAGTCAGATGAATATTTTATGTTGTACCTGCAACAAACGCTCAGTGCAAACGCTCAGTGTGAGTTTTCTGCTGCAGATCGTTCTTGTGGGGCCCAGCAGCTTTGGAGCACCACAAGACCAGGAAAAGCCTGGGAGCCTCGCTGTGGAAGCAGGCGAGCTCAGATGACCTATTGGCTCTGCTGAAAACTGACAAGATGCTCCAAACTGTTGCACACTTTCCACAGCAGCGCAGAATCATTCCACAGGTCAATATCGAAAATCAAATCTCCTTTTTAAAGAAGTTACTGTAAAGTTTAACCCTCCCCCCCAAATCAGGAACTATATTTCTTCAGATATTCCTTGTGGTCTTTAGCTTGTGGGGATATTTTATTTATTTTTTAAAGATGTTTTAGTTATTTTTGACAGTATTTCTAAATTGAGGTTTCCAAAGTATCCTGAGTAGTTTTGACTTTGCAGTTGTAGTAAAATGTACAATTTCACACATCTTTGAGTGTGATAAAATTACCCCTGTTGTAAGTAGTCATGAAACCTCACATACCTGTATGACTAGACACCATGAGTAGTGGGACATATAATGACTGAGGTTCATTTCCATGTTGTACTCTCTCTCCTAGGATGGTACGGAGCTGCTGTACAGCAATGATGCAGTGAAGGACCTTGGGAATTTGTATGATCCTTGTTTTCTTTTGCCTCTATTCAGCACCATACTGCAGCCAGGTAGCTCATTTCACTGCTTGTCTTCACTCGAAATACTCACTTTAGGTCATCAATGCTTATATCTTACATTCTTTTTCTCCTTCTGTGTGACAGAGTGCGTTGTTGACTGCCTCAAGTTTGTATCCAGCCACGCTCTTGGCGTAACCGTAACGGCTCTCAGTAGCTACGACCCGAAGGTGAGAGCGGCAGCATACCATGTGCTTAGCTGCTTCTACCAACACCTGGAGGGTGCGCGGTTCAGAGAGAAGAGACAGGTAAATTGTCAGGGATGTGGCGTGTGGGTGTATAAGTATTATGTGTTGGGAAATCACCTCCAGAAACACTGATGAACTCGTTTTTCTGTCAAGCAGCTGCTGTATTTGATGGACACAGTAAAGAATGGAATTAGACAGCAGAATCAAAGGCTTCCGTTTGTCCTGACCACTTACATCAGCAAAGCAGCTCAGCAGATGCTCAAACCTGGTATGTAACACTGAAATCTAACTATTAGTCCCTGACCAGAGTCATTTAACCCTTGATATATGGGTCAGATGACAAATATGTAGTATTTGTTCAAGCCTTGTTTTAGACTGATCCAAACTCATAAAGAATAACAACTTATTAATTGTTGCGTTTCTATATACAGAGTACGATTGCAATAGCTAACTTTGCCTTTAGGATCTTTGACCTTTTTCTTCTTTTTCCTGTTTTCGCAGAGGACCACATGTACGTAGTGTTAAACCGGTTTCTGCTGTCCCATCAAAGTTTGGACTTCAGAAGAGTCCCTGAGTTCTTCAAGCTGTTTTATGGCTTCGACTTAGAGGTAAAGTGTAATCGGACAACTGCTGAAAACGTTGTTGTTGTTTCTGGTTCAGCAAGTCATTTGCAGGCAGTGCTTTCCTGAACAAATACAGGACTGTGCAAATAAGCTCCTCTTGTATCAACAGCATTTAACCTTGATCTGTTTGTTTGCTCTGCCCAGGCATTTTTTTAGACTGATGTTATCTGTTTTTGTGAAGGAGTGTCAGCCGTGGGAGTATGACTTGTCTGTTTTTCCTGCAGCACAAGATGGAGCGTGAGTGGATCCTCTCTGTGCTGGAGGAGGGGATAAGAGATGGACACTGCTATCAACTGTGTAACCAGCAAGGCATCTTTCAGATCCTTTTAGGCTTCAGCAGCAGCCCATTGTGTGATGAGCGCTTCCAGGTACACGGAAACACAGTCATACCAGTTTAAAATAAAGCATGAAAGCAAATAGATTTGTGGGGACAAGGTGACTGATTCTTGCAAATGCACTTCATAAGGAAAACAAATAAGTAGCCCTATGTCTGATGTGCTTTTATTTCCCGTAGGCACAGATCATCAGGGTGTTGTGCCAGGCTGTCCGTGTTACCAAAGCAGCTTATAACCTCATCAAGAGCTCTGGCCTACTCACCTGGGTGATGCAGGTAGTTGAAAAAAGGTAAGCTTGAGGTTCAGATTTTGGCTCTTTATTGTGATATTATCATTCACATAGTTCCAATAATCTCACAAGTCTGTACTTATTATACTCCTCAGGAATCTAGATCAGCAGCTCCTATGTGCCATCATTGAACTGCTCCATGTGCTGTGGTTTACTAACCTCGGGCAGAAGGAGAAGCAGGCAGATGAAGCAAAGGCCTCCTCGTCTACTGAGGAAAAACCTCAGAGCTTAGTGAAATGTCTCCCACTCCCACTCATCAGCGAATTCTTGTTTGTTGCGTCAACTATCAGCAGACACCTCAGGTAAGGCAGCATAACTGTTAGATAAATTCAGTGGTGGTATGAAACGCAGTAAACGAGCAAATGCAATTTAACTTTGAGTCACTCTTCATCCACTTGATCTGAAGCTTGGAATTTTTAAAAAAAAGGCTGCGGTTAACATAAATCAAGATGCCAGCCAGAATAACATGTCAAAATGTTAAATGTTTTTCATCAAGGATCTCTGTGTTTGTTTGATCTCTCCCTGGCAGGTTGGGTGTGAAGGCCGCTCAGCTGAGACTGTTTCTGCAGACTCTTTGCTCGGTACTGAAGCATCGTGAGACAGCTCTCAATGCAAACAAACAGGCTGACTGGCTCACACTTCGCCCACAGTCTCTCTCCAGTACCGAAACCCTCTCTCTGTTTCTCTGCTGGGCGTCCTTGTCCCGCAACACAGCACTCCTCACCCAAATACAAGCCTTGACTGAAAAGCACAAAGTGAAGGAGCTGATGAGTGAGTGTCTTCAACAAAGTCTTTCATACTGTGAAGCTTGTACAGTTGTCATAGTTTTACAAAATACTTCAAACTCATAATGAAAAAGGAGATAACTGTTAACCCTGCTGCAGTGGTGGCTGTTTGTGGGTTTGTTGCAAATGGAAGTCCTTCAGTTCGTCTTTTATTATGTGAGTTTTGAAAGCAACAAAAAAATTGAAGACAATGAAGCAAAGGAGGCAGAACTGATCTGAGTCTTAATTGTATCACAAACATCAAAAATGACCGTGATCTGCCTTAATAAGACAAATCCTCAGAAGGACCGAGCCGTTTACAAGTTGAAACTCACCAACGTGGACATGACAGACATGTGCAGTGTACTGGTGTTGGCATATATTACAAATTGGCATGAAAATCTATTATGACCCACCTTGCAGCAGTGTTTACAGTTGAGGTTCAGTACCATAACAGCACCAGCTCTGCTACAGGGTTGCTGCTTTTTTAATAGAAATGAGGCTTTAACAATATCATGTTCTTGGACTGGATGAAACTACATGTCATTTTTTTTCCCCCCAGTACAAACTGTGGAAATGTTTAAAGCTTTGTTCTGTTTCATAGAAACTAAATCATTGCTTAAGTTTTGTTCTTCTTCCCCTTCAGGAATGGGAAAGGATAAAGCCAAAGGAAAGGGCTCCTTTTCCCAGGCCTGCAAACGAAAAGAGAATCTGGCAGAAGATGCTGAGAGTGAAAAGCAAGAAGAGAGTCTCCTGACAGAATGTAAATTTTACCTCAGCAGTGTCTTTATTCACTGGGAGCCTGTGCTTCACCTCACAGAACCTCAGCCGTCTCAGCCAAGAGACAAACTGGATCCCAGTCGGTTGGCCAGTGATACTGCGCACCTGCTTACCAAGTGGTCCCTGAGGTGGTTGGTGGAGGACTCGTATGATGAGAACAGAGCAAAGGAATTCTTGCACTGGTTTGAAAACGCTGTGATAAAACACAGAGAAACTGTGGATGCTGTGCTGCTCGATCTTGGCTTGAAAGCGGACCTCCTTAGGTTCTACCATCAGGCCTTTGAAGCTCAGTGTCACTCCAGGATCTCAGGAAGAGCAGAAACATTCCAGCTTTTTACCAACATCATGATCCGCTTACTGGAGACCCAGGGCCACCTTCCAGAGCTACATCAAGCAGTTGTCTCTGCCTGCATGCCAGGAGCCACACACGATCAGTCTAGACTTGGTAAGAGCCTGTCACCTTATTCACCGACTCTATTAATACACAGTTACTGTAACAATACTGTGACTTACTTTTCTGTTCCAAACCACTGAAAAATCTCTGTTGTATTGACAGAATAGTGTAACAGAGATGTTTAGAGCAGGGGAGCCCAAATTTTTCCCTACAGAGGTTCACAAATTAAATTTGATGGGGATACCATCAAGTACCATCAAGTGTGATATGAAGGCTGAAAACAATAGCACTGAATTTACAAGATTTAACTTTTTTTCATTACTAATAAACTTACTGAACGAAAGAAATGTAGCAAAATTAGCATCCCATGACTATTTATCATGTTGATGTTTTTGATGCAAGTACAGGTGCAGATTGAGTTTTTGTTTTTTATCTGAAAAGTAATTTGAAAAAAATGTTTTTTGTGCATCTAATCACTTGATAAGTGCATTACTCAAATTTGAAACATTTATTTTATTCCCCATTACATAGCAAGTTGTAAAATAAAAGTCAATATGCTTAATCACAAAATCAGAATTTTTTTAAGTTACATGACATTATATTTTGCCACATCTGCAGTAGGCGAAAAAAAAGAAGAAGCTTTTGAAAGGTTCCTAAGTGTTTAAGATTTTTTTTTAAATGATATGGCTTCTTGGTAAGGATAATATAGAGGTTGTTTTAATGGTGTCGGATTATCAAATCTATTTGATGCATAAAGTCCAACACACCCTAACTGAAATACATTTTTAAAAATGGGCAAAAAGCAGATAAACACATGCTTATTTGTTTCTATTGGAACCCTAAAGCCACACAATGCCACTCGGTTGTAATGTAAATTAATTAAACCTCTTCTTTTCTTCTTTCCAGAAGCAGGGCTGTCGCTGTTGTCACTGTACATCCATGAATTGTGGAGTGGAGCCACATCAGCAGAGCTGTTCCTGTCTCATGTCAATTTGGTGACCAAGGCCAAGTACAAGAAACCAAAAGCGGTGAAATCCTCAGTGACTCAAACAGCTATCAGAGCCATCTGTAGTGATATCGTCACCATGAAGGTTTAGACATTGTATGTGAACACTTTTGTGTTCTATAAAGACACCCCATCAGACTTGACAGACTTTCATTTTGCTGTTTCGTTCTTGTAAATTGACTTTAGATCATTTGTGAACATTTGTAAAACGATTTTGTTATGTTGATTTTCAGATTTGTTCATATTTTGTATTTTTTTCAAAATAACACATGGTTCTTGTGTGACCTAATTTTTAATTGCGTGTATTTGCATGTACAGAACTCCGACTTCCTCCCACAGTCCAAAAACATGTTGAGGCTAATTGGTGATTCTAAATTGTCCGTAGATGAGAGTGTGAGTGTGCTCGTTTGTCTTTGTATGTAGCCCTGCGACAGAAAGGCGACCTGTCCAGGGTGTCTCCTACCTTCCCCCTGAGTCGGCTGGGATAGCCATCTTCCTGGGGAGAGTTCTTAGGACTGATGAAATGAGATGGTAAATGGATGGATGGATTATGAACGCTTGTGTAAGCTGCTGCATAACAAATCGCCCCTCTGGGACAAATAATAAATTTGAAGTTGAAGTCGGATGGATGGATGGATGGATGCATACATGCATGTACATATTTATATTATTGCCTTGGACTAAATTCAAAAACTTGGATTCAAATGTAGTCTTATCAATGAAGCACAATAATAAACTAGCTGTTCTTGTTCTTTTATTATCAAGGCCAGGCTTCTCATGTACACACACTGCAGCTTAACGCACAAGATCATGATGAAACATTTCTTTAATGGTAAATGGAACCTTGCACTTTGTAGGTATTCAGTAAAATGGTAAAAGATGAATCATGCAGGCTCTCCATTGTTTCTCAGGCATCATCTCCATGGCCATTTTTCCATCAAATTGATTCTGAATTTGCGCCCATCACCTCACTTTTAAACATTAAAAAAAAGTGCTGTCATTTACATTCAGCCTCTGGTCAAGCAATTTATACTCTGTTGCTTCTGTTAGTTTTGCATCTGTGGCCCCTGCAACAACAGTAGCAAAACACTTTTTTTAAAATTAAAGTAGAACATGGTAGTTTTAGCATAATATATACGTTTCAGATTGACAACCCACTCCCCCCTTCCCCTCCTCGAAGCAGTAAAAAACTTTGAAAAAAGTTCCCTTACCTTGGCAAGTTCCCACTGCGAGACATAAGACTCAAACCGAGAAAGAGAAATCCCACAAAAGCTGCCAGAATTATCCAAAATATTATCACAATTGAGTCTGAAAGGGAGGAAGAAAATCAGTGTTAACGTTGTGTAGCACAAGAACACAAATGTAAAAATTATGCAAAGCACAAATACCTACTTACATTTATTGTATTTCAGCTTGCTCTCATCCACAATCACAGGGTCGACGTAATCATAATAGTATTCCCATTCATATCGAAAAGACCGTGTGGAGTTCTCCGTCACAGCCATCATCTCATTTTAGGGGAAAAATATTTGTGTTATTCCAAAAAGCTGGCAAAGAAAAATTAAGTTATTGTTTCTAACATCAACACAAAATCATATGAGGATTTTAGGAAGCCTAGAAAAAGTCTTGTGAGATCTTTACCCACATGTAGCCTCAGTGTGTCTGCTCATCTTCTGCTGCTGGACCTGGATTTCAGCAGATGCATGCAGCATGTTGGTTCTTACACAAGGGGGCGTGAGAGAGCTTGTCAATGGGGTCCAAGAAAAAAAGGTTGGGAAACTGGACAGAGTGATGAAGCCTTGTTGTGGCTTGTTGAAACAAAAAAAAAACATCTTTCCTCACATCTGCTTTTCTGCTAAATAACTGCAATAAATACAAAAATGATGACCCAGAATTGGAAGGAAAAGCAGGTGACTGGTGCTGAGGCCTCCTCATCTCCTTAGAAAGAGACAGGAGACAAGTGAAGTGGTTCATTCCCACTCAGTGAATTCTATCTCATATTGGAACATTATTATCAGATAAATTCAGCAGTGGTAAGAAAGCACAGATAAAGTGCAAAAGTAATTTAACTTTAGGTCAGTCAAAAAAATAGGGAATCAAAAGAGGTGAAGTTGAGATGCCAGTCAGAATTGCAGGTAATAAATGGTAGCTATCTTTTGGTCAAGGCTTGCAGTGTTTGTTTGATCTCCCCCTGTCAAGCTGGGCGTGAAAAGGGCACGCAGCGTAATTGGTTACTTTATTGACAGTCAATAGATACAGACAATCAATGGATATAGATGTGGAACACGATTAGACTTTCGGCCATTAGAAGCGATTACCATTTCCCGATAACCGTGAAAGCAGCATTACCCTCTGACGTCACACGCCAACATACGCCCACAGGGTGGAACCGCCAAGCTAGTAGCATTTCCTAGCTTAGTAGCTTTAGCTAGCTCCACGTCAGAATCAAAATACAGCCTTTCGACGCGAGTGGTTCTTCTGTGTTGTTTGCTATATAACTACACATGGTTATGCTTATTTAGAGTAACAAAACGCGCACTCCGGTCAGTCGGGTTTCAGCATAACAAGCCGCCATGGATGCAGTGAACGCGTTCAACATGGAGGTAAAGTTTACTCGCGTTTTACTTGAGTCCCAAGAGCTAAACCCGAAAGCTAATGTTAATGCTAACTAATGCCAGGTCGTTTAAAATAGTTGCATTATTTGACAGCTAACAGTAATTTATTTTTTTTAAACACAGACACTTGAATTGACTCAATTTGGGGAGGAGAAAATGTTAGTTCATTTGAACGTGTCCAGTTTAAACAAAACATGGCGTGAGTGGGTTTGGTAGCCACTAGCTTCGGTCGGTCGAGCTTAACGCCAGTACGTTATTCTCGCACGGCCTCTTAGCTAGCTTAATTTTGAACCTCAAAATACACAACTGAGACCATGATTAGCGACTAGTAAACTATTCAGGAGAACATTGTTAGTGTTATACACCACTCCTGTTGTAATAGCTGTGTGTCTTGATATCGGGTTTTCCCATTTAAACTGTCGGTAATGTTACTTTTAACCATGTGAAGTTAGCATTCGCCTATGTTGCTTGCTTTAGGTTGTCCAGTGTAATTTTAGATTAATTTTAGATTTAGTTTACCGTGACAGTGGATAGTTAACACCTCAGGATATTACACTGTCTTGCCTTGCTGTATTTTAATGTGTTTTTTGTGTGTGGTGGGGAATGTGTGTTAGTGGGGTAGGTGTGCTAGTAGGGTAAGTCTGTATTTTAATGTGTTTTTTGTGTGGTGGTGGTGTATCGAAGTGGTTGAGTGGTGTAATTTCACTTTTGAGTTAGCCCCTGTTTGCTGCAGACGAGTTGATGCTTTCAGAACTCATAACACAAATATGTACGTGAATAAGTTGTCGATGATATGTTTTCTACACGTTCTGGAAGATATTGAGTGCTGGGCAATTCTTGAGAGTCAACCTTTTGTAAAAGGCAAAATTGGCTAACTTATCTCTATATATTTTGGTGAGCATTAAGGATTCCTTAAACACAACCTGTTGGTTACCTCCATAGATGTTACTTCAAGGAAGGTATAGAACAGAAATCCTGTCCAGGTATACTTTCCCAGAGAAAAGACAATTTGAATCTTGAGTAAATGCAAAGTAGTCTGTGAATTGGCAGGCTTATGAAACCAGTAAATACAATGCTCTTGTTTAAGTACTATATTTTTATGGTGGTATTTGTAGTGTTTACGGTGTTGCTGAATTTTCTGTTGGCCTTTTGGTGCTGCAGTGTAGTGGTCTCTGTGTTGTCCTTGTTTTCCATATAAAACACGATACTGCATGTTTTCTGTGTAATTGTGTACCAGTAGTTGTTTTTTAAAATGAACTAATTTGAATTTTTTTTCTCAAAACTTGTCAGTTATTCTCCATGATTGACATGAAGCCTCCGATATCCCGAGCTAAAATGATGTCTGTAACAAAATCAGCCATCAAAGCAATCAAGGTAAAGTAAATAGAAGTTATATTCATATGTTAATTGGCTCTCTTGCTTTATCTTGGAACACATTCACTTACAAGTTAAGCCAAAGTTGTATTTGGATACATTGTATGAAGCACATTGCTGTGTTACTACAGGTGTTGCTAACAGTCTGCCATTGATGTGTGGTGATGACTTTATTGCATGGTTGTTAAGGAGTGGCCAATGCAAATAAGGATCTACTAGACTACTTACATCGAGAGCTCGAGTTCTTCAAATATAGACTGAAAGACAGTCATTATACTCAAAGCTTCAGCACTTGTGATCCGAACCACTATGGATTTGTATTTAAATAACTGGAAAAACAGACATTTTCTTATTTATCTCAAGTATTACTATTATTCATTCTTTCATCATCCAAAAGTCAAAAGCTTATATCATTGACTGATAAGCATGACCTCAAAGAGTGCAATGCTTGCAAATTCAATTTCCATAAAACATAGTCGCCTCCTGCAGTGGACATTCCTCCTTCAACTGAATGAGATAGTTAACGGCTCAATGGGATAAATAAATGAGTCGTCCTGTGATACCTTTTTCGACTGATTACAGAAACCATGTAGTAAATGAGAATTTTATTTTCACAGTTTTTCATTGCAATTCCTGACCTCTGTGTGTTGGTTATATCCTGCCTTATGAAAGTATTGTCTGGTATGCTGTGACTCACCAATATGCCTTTTTTTTTTCTTTCATTAGCTTTACAAACATGTTGTCCAGATTGTTGAAAAGTTCATCAAGAAGGTATGTGTTACAGAGCCTATTACTCTTTATTATACTAAGCATTTGAGTGGAAAGGAGGAATAAATTGTCTTTGTTTTTCGTTTCAGTGCAAGCCAGAACTAAAAGTCCCTGGTTTATACGTGGTTGACTCCATTGTTCGACAGTCACGGCATCAGTTTGGTGTTGAGAAAGATGTATTTGGACCCAGATTCTTAAAGAACTTCACAGATACCTTCCAAAACCTTTTCCGCTGCCCAGAGGACGATAAGGTACTTTATGTTTGTACTTTTGATATTTTATACATTTACAATGAACAATAGTAGGCATAATAATTTACATATCTCTCTCTAATAAATACAATTGTTTTTTTCCTTGGCAGAGTAAAATTGTCCGCGTCCTAAACTTGTGGCAGAAGAATGGTGTGTTTGACATGGACATCATTCAGCCTCTCATGGATATGGCCAATGGGGTCATTGTACCTCCCCCTACACTGGAAGGTAGTGAAGTTAATTTAGTTCTGTTTGAGTAAAGAAAAGAGATGATGCGGTTTGTCCACTGTTTGATGAACTGCATGCTGTTTTGTGCAAAAACGTACTGTTTTGTTGTGCCGTGACAGTTTCTGCTGACTCTCCAACAGAGACACGGCCTTCTGTCAATGATGCCTCAGCTTTACCTGCAGTGCCCCAGCTGCCCACTCCTGATGCCTTAGCTGCTGTGGCACAGCTGTTTCAGTCCCCCCATGGTCAGGAGGTAAGTGATAACTTTTTCTAAGCAATTATTTGTTTAAGTGCTCAAGCTGTTCAACTACATTAACAAACATGCTCTGTTTTCTCCTACCTCCAGCTGCAGAGGATGCTCCAGAACTTCCAGCAGGCAGATAAGACCCTCACTGCCACCATTGCAAACAATGCACCAAACCCACCCCAGATGCCAGTGGCCCAGCTCAACCCATACAGTGTACATACTGAAAGGAAGAGTTCTTTAGCTGAGGTAAAAGCAAAATTTAGTCTTACTCTCAAAGTAAC